ACTTTAGCAAAGCTTCTGATACGGTCTCCGACAGTATTCTTGCCAGCAAGTTAAAGAAGTATGGATTGGATGAATGGACTATAAGGTGGATAGAAAGCTGGCTAGATTGTCAGGCTCAATGTTTAGTGATCAACGGCTCGATGTCTAGTTGGCAGCCGGTATCAAGTGGAGTGCCCCAGGGATCAGTCCTGGGGCCGATTTTGTTCAACATCTTTATTAATGATCTGGATGATGGGATGAATTGCACCCTCAGCAAGTTCGCAGATGACACTAAGCTGTGGGGAGAGGTAGATATGCTGGAGGGTAGGGATAGGGTCCAAAGTGACCCAGACAAATTGGAGGATTGGGTGAAAAGAAATCTGATGAGGTTCAACAAGGACAAGTGCAGAGTCCTGCTCTTAGGAAGAAAGAATGCCATGCACTGCTACAGGCTGGGGACTGACTGGGGGTAGTCAGATCCTACTGAGGAAAATAGAAAGGAGCATAAACTCTGGCAAGTCAAGTGTAAAAGTATAATTAGTCAGACCAAACAAGAATCTGAAGAGCAACTAGCAAAAGACACAAAAACCAAGGGCTTGTCTACACTGGCACTTTACAGCGCTGCACCTTTCTCACTCGGAGTGTGAAAAAACATCCCCCTGAGCGCTGCAAATTTCAGTGCTGTAACGTGCCAGTATAGACAGTGCACCAGTTCTGGGAGCTATGCCCCTCGGGGAGGTGGGTTTTTTTAGAGCGCTGGGCGAGCTCTCTCTCAGCACTGCGCCGCGACTACAAAAGCCACGTTAAAGCACTGCCTTTAAGGCAGCGCTTTAATGTTACCAGTGAAAACGTGCCCTAACAGCAACATGTTTTTAAGTACACCAGAACCAGGAAGTCTGCTAAACAATCAGTAGGGACAGTAGGTGATTGAAGAGCTAAAGGAGCACTCAAGGATGACAAGGCCATTGCAGAGAAGCTAAATGAATTCTTTGCATCTTTCTTCACTACAGAAGATGTGAGGGAAATTCCCACACCTGAACCATTCTTTTTAGGTGACAAATCTGAGGAACTGTCCCATATTGAGGAGTCAATAGAAGAGGTTTTGGAACAAATTGATAAATTAAACTGTAATAAGTCACCAGGTTCGGCTGGAATTCACCCAAGTGTTCTGTAGGAACTCAGATATGAAATTGCAGAACTACTAACTGTGGTATGTAACCTATCACTTAAATCACCTTCTGTACCAGGCAACTGGGGGATACTAATATGACACCAATTTTAAAAAAGCCTCCACAGCTGATCCTGGCAGTTACAGACCAGTAAGCCTAACTTCAGTAGAAGGTAAATTGATTGAAACTATAGTAAAGAACAGAATTATCAGGCACATAGATGAACACCATTTGTTGGGAAAGCATCAATATGGCTTTTGTAAAGTGAAATCATGCCTTACCAATCTGTTAGAATTCTTTGAGGGGATCAACAAATATGTGGATAAGGTTGATCCAGCTGATATAGTGTACTTGGACTTGCAGAGAGCCTTTGACATGGTCCCTCACCAAAGGTTCTTCAGCAAAGTAAGCAGTCATGGGATACGAGAGTAAGTCCTCTCATGGATCAGTAACTGCTTAAAAGATAGGAAACAAAGGGTAGGAATAAATGGTTGGTCTTCAGAATGGAAAGAGGTAAATAGCAGTGTCCCCAAGGGATCTGTACTGGGACTAGTGCTGTTCAACATAATCATAAATGATCTGGAAAAAGGGGTAAACAGTAAGGTGGCAAAGTTTGCAGACAATACAAAATTATGCAAGATAGTTAAGCCCATAGCAGAATGTGAGGGTTCCAAAGGGATCTCACTAAACTGGGTGACTGGGCTACAAAATGGCATATACAATGTTGATAAATGCAAAGTAATGCACATTGGAAAACATAATCCCAACTATACATACAAAATTATGGATTGTAAATTAGCTGTTACCACTCAAGACATAGATCTTGGAGTCGTAGTGGATAGTTCTCAGAAAATATCCATTCAGTGTGCAGTGGTGGTTAAAAGAGATAATAGAATGTTAGGAACCATTAGGAAAGGTACTCCCACACTTTTAATACCATATGCAGTTCTGGTCACCCCATCTCAAAAAGATTTATTAGAAACAGAAAAGGTACAGAGAAGGGCAACAAAAATGATTAGGCATATGGCACAGCTTCCATACGAGGAGAGATTAAAAAGACTGGGACTATTCAGTTTGGAAAAGAGGCAACTAAGGGAGGATATGATTGAGGCCTATAAAATCATGACTGGTGTGGAGAAAGTGAACAAGGAAGTGTTATTTACCCCTTCACATAATACGCAAACTAGGAGTCACCTAATGAAACAAACAAAAGAATATACTTCTTCACACAATGGACAATCAACCTGAGGAACTTATTTGCAGGGGATGTTGTGAAGGCCAAAAGTATAAC